CCACATGGACAAAACATTTCATCTTGGCAAAAATTAAATAAATTAAGTATTACTTAAAATTAAAGATTAAAAAATTATTATCCCAAAAAAATAATTTTTTTATAAAATAAAATGTAAAATATTTTTCTTACTCCACTCCATCACTTCCTTTCACCGTACCCCCCCCCCTTTTGGTTTAAATTTCCTTTCTCTAACCCTCCTCTTCCAATTTTTTTCTCGTTTTGTGTTAGATATATACATATCGAAAATATGTTTTACTTGCCGCTGCAAGACTTTTTTTAAAATAAATTTTTTATTTATGTTATATTCGATATGAAAAAAATTCCTACAAATATATGTACATATCTAACACAAAACGAGAAAAATGTATAAATAAATAAATAACTAATGAGCGGAGGGTTAAATAGGATGGGGTAGAATTTTTATTTTTTTAAAATAAAATAATATCAATTTTTTTTTGAGAAATGAGTGTGTGGTTTTTTTTTTTTTTTGGGGGGGGGTGGGGGGAGTGTCAAGTATGAATTTTTAAAAATATATTATAAAAGAAGGGATTATTCGGGGGGGGGGGGGGGGGAGGTGGTGAAGTGGGGTAAGAAAAATAATTTAAATTTTATATTTTAAAAAAATATTTTTTTGGGGATAGTAATACTTTAATCTTTAATTTTGATTAATATTAATAATTTATTATTTAATTTTTGTCAAGGTGGAATATTTTATTCATGTGGAATGTCATGTGTCAATGTTTTTTCAAATAAAGGAGAGAGTGTATTACACACCACTGAGGTATGTTTCTCAAATTAATAAGTGATAGTTTAAGTATGAAACTAAAAAAAAGATAGTTTAGGTATGTATTTAACACTTATCTCAATTTTTTACTATAAATAAGTTTAAAAATACTATTTTTACTCAAACTTTATTTTTGTGAGAAATATTGAAGATACTCTTAAACTCGATGCAAATTATTAGTTTTATCCCCGAACTATTGACATTCGTACACCCCTCTACTTGACTAACTAAACTTAGATACACTTCGATATATGCAACATGACATAACAAATAGGCTCACACTCTTGTAAAAACACATGACACTTAATAAAAAATTGAGAGAGGTGATGAAAATATCCTAAATTTTGTGAGAATTTAGGGGTGTATTTAAGTTCAGTTAGCTAAGTAAGGGGGTGTTTTTAAAATAACTATCAATAGTTCAAAAATGAAACTAATAATTAACGTCAAATTCAGAGTAAAAAATATTACAATGTTGAAATGTCACTCTCCAAATTTTAGTATCCAAGAAAAAATTGGAGCACTAGCATACTGCCATATCACCATAGAAGAAAAATGGTATCTTTAGAGCAAAAGGCATCAGAATGGAGTGGAGTTGATCCAAAGGATGCAGTTGCCATTGATGAGATTAATCTCTTTGAAAAACTTGGTCTTCAAACTTTCATCAATCTATCTACCAATTTCTACAACAGGTCCATCCCCAAACCCCAAATATATTACAGTAATTGTTTTTTGATGTGTGTACAATTTCTTCAAATTGGTATTCAAGAAAACTCATTAAAGTTTGAGGCTTTTGTTGAATTGAGCTTTCTGTTTTATTGGTTTATTTTGGGAGGGGAAAGGGAGGTTTATATGTGTTCAAGATATTTGATTCTTTAATTATGTTAATTTCTGTGCTATTTCATCAACGATTTAGGTTAGAGTGGAGTGGTAAATATTGCTTCATACTTGACCAGAGTAATCTCGGGTTTGAGTCTCCTTATATGTAGTCATCTTAGTAAGGAAGCGCATTATCCCCAAATGTATGGTTTCCTAGTGCAAATTCGGATTTAGTCGGGATCCAGTGTGAATACTGAACACCGAGAGGGAAACCAAAAAAAAAGTGTATCTCACAAATGGAATCTAGAGAGATTAATTAGTTGTATGCGTATCTTACTACTTCTAACTTTTGTGGACATAGAGAGTTTGTTTCTTCTGATAGACCCTCCGCTCGAAAGAGTGGACTTTTAAGTTATTGTATTTCTAAAAGAACAGAGTTAATTTATTTGCTACATTATATTACTATCTATTTTTTGTTATCCTTGATGAGGGTAGAAATTTGACTCTTGTTTTTGGAATTGAAATTAGGGTGTATAATGATGAGGAAGAGTGGTTTCGATCAATTTTCTCGAATTCAAATAAAGAAGAAGCCATTAGGAATCAGTATGAGTTCTTTGTGCAAAGAATGGGAGGGCCTAATTTGTACTCACAGAGGAAAGGTAATGAAGAGTTCTCTTAAGACCTTGTTTGTACACTTCTCAAGTTCTAGGTTATATATATCAGTGTCAATTGTAAACTTATCCTTTTATAATCGAGAAATCTTTGAGGGTTAGTACTGTATGATTCGAAAATGGACTCACCCTTCTATCCTTATTCAGTTAAATATCTGGTTTTTGTCGATGGCTGAATCTGAACCGGTGACACGTAATTAATCCACACATCATATGTTGTGCTCTTATCACTGGACCAAAGCCCTGGCCCCTGGGGCTATGGTATCCTTCAAGTTTAGTAGATTATTTGCAAAGGAAATGAAGCATTTTCTCCAAATGGTTCCCATTTTATAGTATCTTCAAGGTTTATGTTGAACAGAACTAGTGTTATTAGCACCACACTGTCTGTTGAACAACACTAAGGGGTCGTTTTGTTGTTGGTTAGGAAGTGAATTATATTCATGTATTAAATTAGTTCCACGTTTGGTAGCATTTTAGTTGTTATGTATAAAATTCAGCACATCAAGTACGACATGTTGTTATCAGTTTACAATCCCGCATAACTGTTACATGTATAAGTTATTAGGGAATCTATGTATTATTTTACTAAATCTTGCATAACTAATCTTTACATAACTAATACCTGTATAATTCTAACCAACAACGAAACGATACCTAAGTTCTGATCCCTTTTATTGTGTCTGGAACATTTCAAGAAAGAAAATTAGTTAGCTTTTTAATTAGTTGTGCAACAGAGAAAGAAACTGTCAGCAAGATAGCTTGAGAAACTTTCATTTGTAGTGTTTATTTGAACTTTGTGCAGGCCATACAGCATTGATTGGACGCCACCGCACGTTTCCAGTAACTCATAAGGCTGCAGAGAGATGGTTACACCATATGCAACAAGCATTAGACAGTGCAGCAGATATTGATGAAGATTCCAAAACTAAAATGATCAACTTTTTTAGGTATATATAAGCTAATGTCATCTGAACTATATATGCACATAGTTGATTCGCCTTTGTAACGTTACATTTTGTTTGATTTTCAGGCACACTGCATTCTTTTTGGTAGCTGGAGTTGAGTTGAAGAATCAAAACAAAGGAACAGGATGTAAGAATTGCAGCCACCACCACTAAGCAAGTTGATGAGTTTAGTTGACTATATTGATATAAGAATTGTGCCTCAATCGCAAACCAGTTGGGATTGACTATATGAATCCTGACTGTTTATGTTATCGCTCCTTGTGAGTACATGATATGTAATAATGATTAGATCATAAAATCCTTTGGGGAATTACTTCAGTCTGCAATTTTTGTGAAAATTTCAAGTCATTCGAACACCTTATAGTAATGGCTTGCATCCATTTAAATTGTTTAATGTGAAAACAAATACACTATTGGAGGGGGTCTTTGGTAAAGAGGCTAACTTATTCATATATTAATTTTTGTATTTGTATTAGTTATACAAGATTTGGTAGCTAGTTAAGAAGTAAGTTTGAACAAAACTTTTCTTCTAAGCTCACAAAATTCACTTGTATGTTTCTAAGAAATTTAATCTCGTTATGATATTTGAAATACTGAATGTGCCTCTTTATTTTTTATTCACATCACAAAATCCATCAATATCACCACGTGAATGGAAAATGGTCATTTGTTTTAAGTTTAACACAATTAAGATTTAATTGTTTTTCGATAAATACATTTTTTCGTTAACGATCTTTTACATGTATCTAGATAGATAATACAAATACAAATCACATAATTAGTTTTAAAATCGTCTTTGATCTGAAATTCCAATTTTTGCAAAATTGTGTCATCAAAAGAAACGGAAATGGAACCACTCTAAATATCAGAGCCAGGTTTCGATCCTGGGACCTGTGGGTTATGGGCCCACCACGCTTCCGCTGCGCCACTCTGATTTGTTGTTATAGTTACATCAATTAACTTTAATAATGGTTTTACATGATATAACTCCTCCAGTCCAGTACTATGTAATTATCTTTAATGAAGCCGTTGGAGAACTTTTAGGTGAAAATTTACATTAGTATTCCTCTTTGATATCCGCAGCGGAGCCCCTCGGATTCGCACACCGTACAGAAAGAGATTCATAAAATATGACTGAAATTTATATTGGAGCCCGACTAATTTGGATTCGCGCACATCATATCAAGTATGATAAATATCATATTAGAACTCGGCTAATCCGAATGTACACATATCCGTATTAGAACTCGACTAATCCAAATGTACACATATCCATATTAGAACTCGATTAATCCGAGAGATTCATAAATATGACTGCTGGTTCGGGAACAGATACAAGTTTTGCAAGGTGGGACCCGCATAGCTGAAGTGAACACGCATTTGTAATGTATGTATACATACACCAGCCCTCTTCCATTCGACCAATCTCAAATTAGTTTAAAGAGTATATATCATCTTATAAACACCATCAGGAAAAATATCTACAAGTTTTCCTTTAAAATGTAAAATTTGTAATGTTCAAAACATTAAATTTATAAGTAAACATCATTAAAACTTAAAAATAAGTCACATTACCTGCTTCAATAGGTAAAGATGACTTGACTATGTAAGAATTTTGTACTGACTCTGCATACAACTTAAACTCAAAATGACTACATTTCAAATATTATGCACAAAAAGATTGCAAGTGCTCAAATGGGACTATTCCATATGTTGAGACTCCAAGAAACATCAGTAACAATCAAATATTTGATGCTGTTCATGAGGTCGATAAACAAATCAAGATGCCGCTTTTCATACAATACATGGCAAAACATCAGCAATACATAAAACATTATCCAGGAAGAACTTACATTTCACATTTACTAGTTACTACAAAATATCACAACATCAAAAAGGGGCAAAGAAAGGAGAGCCTAAGACCCTTGTGAACTCCCATTTGAGTGCTGTGACTGTACGATCAATCTTAATCGACCATAAGCCTCTAGACATGCATAAGAATACTCCGACATGACTCGGAATAGTTCAGGCAACCGGATCTTGAGACTCCCTAATGACTTCTCCCTAACTTGAATACATAGCCTCTGGTGAGCTTCTGTCTCCTCATCCAACCTCTTCTTCAGTGTGTCCACAAGCAACTGCTTTTCCACAACAGGATCTTTTGGGTTGGACTCTGTAGCTCTATCAGTATCTGTCATATCGGGTGGAGTTCTACGTTGCATATACTTTTGGTACCAATCTTCAAATGCTTGCCTTTTGCGTATGTACTCTTTCTTAGTTTCCTCACACTTATCCTTCAGCTTCATCTCTTCCTCCTGATGAATAATGATGGTCCTTATCACTGCTTCAAAGGAAGCAATGGCACTTCTGGCGAGCTCATCAGGCAGCTTCTCAAGAAGTTCCTGCCAGGAGTGGAGAAGGGCTTGAATTGGGGGACTTTGTGCTCGAGGAGGCGACGAGATCTTTTCTTTTAGGCTGCTTTCAATGGGTATGAGATTTAGCTTCAACCAGCTGTGGAGTGTTTGGATGTATAGCTTTTGATTTTTCACAAGGTTGTCAAAATGATCATGCCATTCCTTGATAACATTACCAAGCTGGATAGTACGTTCATGATGGTGTTTGCTTGTTTCCAAGGGGAACCCGGAGATTTCAATGGCTTTGAGATCAGTAGCCAACTGCAGCTGGTTCTTGTGATGACTAAACATGAATTCCCACATGCTAACCATCCTGCAAAGCAAAAGCAAAAGCTGATACTTGGCGTGACCCTTTATATCATTACCAAATATTATGTACTACTAGGCAGGATTTATACAAATCCATAGTCCCAGCAAAGCAGCTACACAGAAGAAGAAATAACATTTAAAACCAAGTGACCCTTCGGGAAACATATCTACAAAAAGATACATGGATATATATAGAGCAACCAAGAAACTACTAATTTAAACAAATTGGTACTTCTTGTGCTCGTGTCTAGGGTGTGTTTGGTAGGAAGGAAAATGTTTTTCTTGGAAAATAAGTTGGTTTATAACTTATTTTTTCATGTTTGGTTGATGAGTAGAAAATATATAATGATTAGAGAATGAAACTAAGTTGCTCGGACTCGGGTGCGGGTGTTCGATACGGGTGCGGATCTAGAGGTCGAATCATTCATGATCTAGTTTTTAAGATTCGGGGATATGGATCCATGTATGGATACGGGTGCAGGGATTCGCCTAAAAATAATTAAAATATCTAAAAAATAGAGCTATAAAACCTAAATTATGAGATATTATGTGGAGAACTTGAGGAGAATCATGGAAGGAGATTAAAGGAAAAGGAGTGGCATAGAAATTTCTATATAAAAGGTATTTCATTTTCTTCAATTTCACCTTAGCTTTTGTATTTGATTATAGGAATCATTAAAATTGTCCAAACTTTCTCCATCGATTTTGGTCAAAGTACTCAAAATACGTTGAGCAAATCAAACACAGATCCCACACCCACACCCATGTCGTGTCGAAACGGGTGCGGCACCAAACGTGAAAAGTCCGAGCAACTTAGGAATGAAAAACATTTTTTAGAAAATATCTTTTATTTTTGGCTGGAGAGTAGAAAATACATTTTAGGAAAATAGTTTCAGAACTGAAAACCAACCCTCATTACCGATCCGGCACCCGACCCTGACAACCGATCCAACACCTGACCCCTACTCCCGACACCGGACACGACATTTGAACTGGGACATGACTTGACCATGACCCAAATGGAGACATGATCCTAAGACCTAATCCCGACTCCCATCTCGAGACCCGATATTCACACTGGAATATGATCCCGACACCTGAACTTGACCCCAACTTAAGACCAGACTTCGACTCTCAATCCCTACATCTGACTCAAGATCAAACTTTTGAATCAAAATCCAACCTTGACACACAATCCAAGAGTTGACCCCGACCCGACCCCAACTCCCGACCCAACATCTGATTCAGGATCCAACTTTTGACTTGACGCCCGACCCAAACCCCGACACCAACCTCAATCCGACACCCGATATCAACACCTGACCCCAACCTGAGACCTGACCTTAACCCCGACACCCAACCCCGGCCTCAACCTCGACCTGAGACTCGACCCTGTCTGTGACACCCGACCCCAACCTCTGACATCGACACACGAGTGGAGACCCGACCCTGACTTGAGACCTGACCTTGACTATGACACCCGACCCGAGACTCGACCTCGACTCTGACCTTGACATGAGACTTGACCCCAACCTTGACCCGAGAATCGACACCGACTCAAGACCCCAACATTCGTTGGACCGGTATCTTCCCCGAGATCCGACCCCGATACCCAACTCTAAACCCCATCCCAACCCCGACACTTGAACTGGAATTCGACCTTTAATCCTAACTCAAGATTTGACCCCATCTAAATTTGAAACTAAGGGGTTGGGTCTCAAATCGAGTTCGAGAGTCGTGTCTCGAATTGAGAATCACAAGTCGAATCTAGGATTATTATTGAGAAGCGATACCCGAGACTTAAGTTAGGATGGAAAGTTGAGGTGTGAGATTGAAAATGATTTTGGAAAATGTTTTCCTTACTTTTTTTATTAAAGTCATTTTCCTTAAATTTGAGGAAAATAAGTTGATTTGGAAAACATTTTCAAAACATTTAATCCAACCAAACATGAGAAAATTGGAAAACATTTTCCTTCATACCAACCCACCCAAAATTTGGAACATACAGATGATAGGAAATTCGTCTGTTTCATAAAATCAGTAGACAGCATCACAGATGCCCTAGAAAGGATATGTATGCTAATGTAGATTACTCATCATTGAGGACAAAAGGAGAAGACCGCCTGCTAAAATATCAAAAAGTAAATACCTAAACCTATGCTACTTGATTGCCAAACTTCCAAAAATATGCATAACAATGCATTTACACGGGTTTTAAGCTAAAAGAAAGAAAAAGAAAGAAGGAATCATAAGCTTTAAAAAGAATCTTATTTACTAGGCTGAACGCTAGGGGAGAATTATGCACAAAGCAAAACCAAATGAATCAATTTTACTAATATGAGGCAGATCAAGGACTCTCACATACTAATACTGGTTCTACAGTAATGCACAAATTGAACTGTTGTTCTTCGATAATGAACTTTCAGAGATTCATAAATGAATTGGTGGACCAATCACAAACAGCAGAAAAGAAGATATATTTCCAAATGTTCCGTGTCTAAAACAGGTCCAGATAGATAGATATACAACTTATTGCTTGTGGCAGGAAACTTCAAGATTACTTCTAATTTATATTCCATTCAATTAGCGAAAACACCAATCATTTGTGTTTATATCTTACAATGCCTACATAAAATCGTGCTCCATAACGTCTAAAGTCAATTACAACTCCACTTGTGGTCCACCCGAGAAAGACCTCGGTTCCAAGCACATGTACCTGGGATTTGAACTCATAGTTCTCTACCCACTTCATTGACCACTAGGCCACACAAATCATACAGCGGACCTCAACTTATTTGGGCCACACAAATCATACAGCGGACCTCAACTTATTTGGGATTGAGGCATAGTTGTTATTGTTATCTGCCTAAATTACAGTCTTTTTATCTGCAGAAGGCCTCAAAAATCCATGGCATGTACCTATAATTCATATATCACGTGCTAAGCTCTTACCACTAGACCACCCCCACCATTCTTGAATTGATATTAGAAGGTATACATTTTAACTCTCAGTTTAATGCCACTATCAAGTCAAACAAGCAGAAGAGGAGAGGAACATCAAGGTTCGAGACCATTGGTGTGGACCAAGAAATAAGAATAAGAGATGCGGGCAGTTCAATGACTTGGCCTCTTTTTTTCTTTCTTATATGTTTTGAAGTCGAAGTGTCCTTCACTCCTTAATTAAATCACATGCTTGCTTATTTTTCAGGATCAAACGGTCGGGAGAAACTAGTGTGAGGTGTTCTGGTAACACGGATGTCATTTTAAAGCCAGAAATACTTGAGGACTGTCTGACAAATGTTTAGTCAAATTTTGATGGGTAGAGTTGTCATAATATACAATTTGGACAGTGAGAATTCATACAGCCAGGAGTTTCTTCGATCTTCAAAAGACTAATTTTGTAAGTTTTACTTTGAATATCTCACTAATTTTGTGATTAAGGCATAGTAGTAGTAGTTATTGCATACCATCAACTCGTAAGAATTTATAAAAAAAAAATTACAATTGTTGAAGTGTGTGACCATCTTATAGGTCCTGCTCTGATACCATGTTGAAGTGTGTGACCATCTCATCTAAAAGCTTAAGTTGTTAGATTGAGCACACTTTTTATTATTTAATTATATTCTCAACAACAAGTAAATCTAGTCATAAGAATTTGTCTTCGGAGCTTAGTTTGTAAGACCATTGTTCCTCTGAGGAAGACTAACAGAGCAAACTGCTGCTTAATAATATCAAAACCATTATTAAGCAGAGGTGCTAATGTATCTAGCACCGAACAATTTATGGAGTTTATTGTTCCCTTATCTTAGATTGACTAACTGTAAAGGAACTACCTTTTCTTTATATCGGTTTTCTTTTGTCAATTTTTCTTTCATTGTAAGATGTAACTATGCATCTTCTTGATGCTCTTTTGTGAATGAAATACCTTGCTTTATCAACAAAAAATATATATCAGAACCATTTACCAATATTGTGATAAAATAGGACAACGAGCATCAAAATGTAGGAAAAGCATTTTAAATTATCACTCAAGTGTAAGGTTTCACTTAAAAGAAAGCTTTTCAAATGGTTGGTGACCATCCCGGTGTTTCACTTAAAAGACAATTCTAAATTAGATGTTTTACACCTCTAAGACACTCCCCAAAAGAGATGAGTAAGCACACAGGATATAAATCCGCACCTAGCTCCATGCCTTTCTTTCATTTTAACATAAGAATATTTGTCTTTCCCATCATAATATAGCAAAAAATACTGGCATGCTGAAAAAGATCAACCCCAATATTACACAACTTCTGTTAAACAACCGCAGTTTCCAAAGACTTAAAACATAGAAGACTGACCTTTAAATCAGGTATAGTAGCAACAGCTTCTAGATGCAATAATTTGTGGTAAAGAAAATCTAGATACGGTGGTAGTTGGAAGATTACACATGAGAATGTCCCTAGTGGACCAGAAAGAATGGCCACTAGGAACACATGCATTAAAATGTAATCCTCATTATGAGGAACGGTTAGGAACATGAGAACTTACCCTTGAACAAGAGCAGCCAGCTTAGGGTAAAGCTGCTTGTCACGAATGTCGTTTACTTCACTAACAGTCGAATCCAATGACTGCATGTCAACTATATATCGCGTATGCAAATGGCTAACAGCAGCCTTTGTCTTCTCCAGTGATTCCAAGGTAGCATTCCGTTTCTTCAACTTGTTTAGCAAGGCAACTTTCCTCTGATATTCATGTTTTATAAGCTCACCAGCCTATTGAAATCAACGAAATAACACTTTCATAAACCATCAGCTTTTTGGACAATAGGAACAATATGCCATTAATGAAGGTCAATGACATGACACTAGACAGACAGACACCAAAAAGCTGTATAGAAACTTCAATTCAAAAGGAAGGATAAGCTACGGAGAGAACAGAATGGAATTGGAGGTGCAGAATGCAACTAGGCATGCCAGAGTAGCTTAGACAATGACACAATGATAATGGTGTTTTAAACAGACATTTAGACAAACTAGGATTTGGAAAATTAGGGGGCAGTCGCGAAGTACAAATAATTAATGTATAAAACTGCATAGATATCAAGTTTTTTGAGTTTGCCACAACTTAAAGAGACTGGGTGAACGCACCAGCCACCTCCTCTTCCAGCATCTTTAACTAGATGGAGATAGCAGGGGTTGAATTTTCTACCAGATATACTCCGAGCGGGATCTAATTCACACGTTTCATTTGCTACATACTTTCTAGTAATTCTCTTTCAATTTCTATTTAAGAAGTTCCCTTAATGGAAAAGCATGTCGAAGTTGACGCGCATTGATGTCTGAAATTACCCAAAGGGTGGGGGAGATAATAGGGGCTATTCTCCAAGGTTAGCACGAGTAGGATCTGATATGCAACAGAGGATCGGGTGACCATGCTTCCTATAGCCCATATCTCAACATGAATCATAAATCAAACATAAAATCCAAGATTTTAGCAAAGAGAAAGTACAGGAACAAGAAGCAGTAAACACCTTCATTTCATCATAAAGTTTCTTCTCCCAAGCCAGCAATTTGTCCAAAACAGTGGCATGAGTCTCATATTCGTCAATGTCATAATCATCCTTACTACCATCACCATTCGGTACACCCTTAAATGATTTGTTCCACGTAATGACTCGCATTACCCTAGCTGCATGGTCAATATGTCCTGCGGAAAAAGAACTATTCACTATCAACATCCAATAAGATTAAACAGCATTGTTGCTTCAGTTTTGTGCTGCTAAATGCTTGGATCATAAAAATTAACTGTATCAAAACAGGCTCCTTGTTGTTTCCCATAAGACAAGTAGATCTACTGTGAATAAACAAGTTAGTCAGTCAAACAATAGATTGGAAAAGCCTAACTCCCTGTACCCAGCTGTGTTCAAACTGTTACTGATATGAGTGAATTTACCATATCCCCATTCTCTTTGAGTAGCAAAAAACATCTGAAAGACAAAACAATAAGGGTATCTATCCATTCTCTATCATCTTAAAGCATGACTAAACATCAAATTACCTCGATTATCAGCGAAGTTTGAGTGGTAATGCAATCGAGTAGCCTCAAGCATCTTCGAAACCTCTTGTGCATTCTCGGAAGCTTTAAGGAAGTGATCATCAATCTCGCCTAAAACTTTAAAGAAATCAGCATTGTTACCATACACAACATTCCCACCTCCCACTACTACTCCACCTCTCATCTCAGAAGGCGCAGTGTTTGAATGCTTAAAGACTCTGTCTGATTCATCCACCATTGGGGTCTCTTCAACCTCACTCTCCACTTTCCCCTTCTTCTCTGGTGTCTTGAACTGATCATCTCTATACTCATTTCTACCCACATTATCAAATCTTTTGTTTTGAATTTCGATATTATCTTCGTTCAACCCCTCCTCATCCTCTTCTTCTTCTTCCTCCACTCCTTCTAATGAATGTCCCGTGTTCACATTCTCAAAGAAATAATCCCACGACTCCCCTGGACCCGGCGGCCGGGGTGGCAATGGCTCCTTCATAGGCCTCTCGTACCCCAGTCCATTTCGCTTTTCTCTCAGTTTCAAACCATCACCTTCACCTTCCTCTTCCTCCTCCTCCTCCTCCTCCTCAATTTCCTCATCATGCTCATCAATACCAATGCCTTTCATTTTCCTACCTCTGGGTTTCGACAGTTCAGGCATAGTAAAAGAGCGTTGAAGTGGGGTTATAGGTGAGAAAGCTGGTGGGGGAGGAGGGGGTGGTGGGAGTGGGCTAGCTTCCATATTCGACAGCGGTGGTGGTGGTGGCGGCGGCTCACTAACAGCCGGCGGCGGCAGCTCAGGTGGGGTTTCACCTTGAGCATAATCACTCAAAGCAGCACCAGTGTTTTTCAAAGCAATGGAATAAGCTGAATGTGCAGCAGCAAAGAAGTTTCTATAGTTAACTGCTTCTTTCATGAAGTTTCTCCGATCTTTGCATCTTGAAACTGACTCTTCGTTATCTATTCTTGATTGAGCACAACCCATTTCTCCACTGTTTTAGCTCTTCTAGGGCTTGAAATTGAAATGGCAAAATGGGTGTAATTTTGAGGAAATGGGGTTCAGATTTATCGAGAGATGAAAATGGAGATTTAGAGAGAGAAAAAGTGAAACGGACAAAATTTGAAGCAGAGGAGAGAAGAGTACTGTAACAGTACAAAGAAGAAAGAGGAAGGTGACAAGCACGCGCCGCTGTATGGGGTATTTCTATTTTGAATACACCTGGGATTAACGGTCACATTTATCGAGGTGCTTAACGACGTCGTTAATATCTAACCTTACTTAGTTACCAACTATGTTTATTTCTATACTCTATAATAATAATCTCCTAGGCACATGAATTTATTTATTTTCACTCTGTTTCAGTTTCCGTCTGAGCATAGATTTTGAAATTATGATTTTACGAACTTAAAAATATCTTTAAACAAGATTTTATGAGTAAAAATAATTGCTTTTTGTGAGTGATGAAATTTCTATGATTAGAATTTGAAAAATATTTTCAAGACAGATTTTTAAAATTTGATCCAAAATATCAAATCTTGGCTAGGTAACTCTCCCATCAAAAAAAAATTCCTTAAATTGAATATCACGCATAAAGTTATTTATGATATAAGCAATTGATTAATTTTAATAAGTATAATTAGCACTTATTTTAGTTTAGTTCTTTTATTAAAAAAATATATTTTAATATGTGAAGTTTTGGTAGCATTTATTGCATACGACATATATGCTCATTTATTTTTTTTAAAATATTACATTAAAAATATTACTATAAATATTGTCATAGATTGTCCAAAAAACTTTTGCTTGTGCTCCATAATTAGGAATGTTATCTTTATAGTACATGATTGAGCTTTTATAAATGGGGGAAAGCTAGCTTTTTGAAAATGTTACTTTTCATAATTCAAAAAGAGGTACAATAACGCCATTTTATAAAGTTTCTTTATAGTGAAGTTTCCATGGTGGGTAGTATTTTACTTTCCATAATCCAAATATTTACCAAGTATAGTAAGTATAAAAAGTTTATGAAAAGAGTTACTCTTAATAATATTTAAGTATTACTATCAGTCCGACATTTGGTATTATTCGTTAGGCTCAAGGCTGAATAATATCAAATAAAAAATTATTATTGTTCACTGATTGAGCAAAGAATTGGGATCGGGAAGAGGAGGTCTTGTGAAAGCGATGTCAATAATCACCCGATCATGTAGAATTATTCTTGGTATACTGATATATCACCAATCCAAAATGCATCAGTGACATTGACTTTGATATGTTACCAAATCATGATTGAAAACTCTATTGTGATCCTATTTTTGATTAAGTTGATGCTTCCGCTTATTAAATCTAAACTAATCCTTTTATCAAGCTCTAATTTCATCACATAAATGATTATAAAGTCCATTTTTTTACTATAATAATAAATGTTTATTTTAGCACGTTAAAGAACCAATATTAGAATACAGTAAATACTACTAATTTAAAACAAAAACATACAATCCTAAATATATAAAAATAGCAGGTTAAATGAACTTGTCAGAGAACTTTTATATTTTATTTTATTTTTAAAAAACAAGTATTTTTTATATAGTTGTTGTTGATGGTGAAGAAAAAGGTTGATAATAATGTTGGATGAATATAGAAAATTAAACCTAGGCTACCAATTGACTAAATGATTCAAAAAAAAATTAGGAAGTCAAAATCGTTAACCTAATTGTAGTAGTAGATTCTAGCAACTTTTTTGACTGCTATGTAGGAAAAGATATCAAAATATTTTAATTAATTATCGATAAGCATCGAGTTTAACGATATATCAATTAATAATTATACAATTACAAATATTTTGTTTTTGGTAATATATTTGTGAATAGTAATGTTTAAGAGAATCATATCCAAATAATCTTGTAACATCATAAAAAAGACGTGATATTTTTTTTATTAGGAAAGCGACATATACAAAAATATTAAATATTTATTTAAAGCATGACGAGGGCGAGATTTAAACTAAGAATCCAACTTAAGTCTTTCCTCGTTTCAACCTCGCCCTCGTCACGCTTGCCGACAATCTGCTTTCTATCCTCCGAGCACACACAAAATGCATAGCTTGCTATTAAAATAAGATATTAAGACCCTTCTTTTTTGACATGTTATGTTTAAATTTGTTTGCTTTACTAGGCAATTAGTTAAGGGAATAAATAATTCAAGAAAAAAATAAATCTAGAGGGGTAATGAGACCCCCACCCCACCACAGTTTAGGTGTTTCATTGACGGTATTGTTTTTTTAGAGGGGTATAAAATATTTGATTTATATTTAAAATAAAGCTACATTGATAATTTTAAGAATTTATTTCTTGTTCAGAAGAACTTGCCTTTAAGTATTTAACTCAAAGTACCTGATTCGGTACAACTCAATTCAATTGATTCAGTCGATTTTAAAAGATTCATTAACATAATACTCCTAATTGCGGGTACTAGTTGAACAACTAAAGCTAAAGAAAGAAAGAAAATTAATAGGAACTGTAATTTTTTTTTCTCTAACATACTTGCGTGAATATTTTCTTAATAAAAATTGACCTTTACTCTTCCTTATTTTTTAGTGAACCATGATAAAATTGACAATCTTTTTCCTACTTAAAAGAAAAAATAAAAAGAGCTCATCACATGACAATTGGATGATCCAATAAGTTTGTTTAGGTAATAAAAACACTTTTGGTGTGAGAAAAATTCACTATATTTGTTTGTCTTCACTAAGGAATTATTCTGCCATCTATTTTTCCTTCTTTAATTTGAATAATTAAAAATTAATTTTTTTATTTCATATCTTATTTTATTTTTATTGTTAAGTACTAGTTATTTATCCTTCATTTTATAAGTGAGATAATTTATCATTAAATTAGGGATGATATTGTGAAAATTATCATTTTATTTGTTACGTACTTTTTAAGGAGTGCATTAAGTGACAAAATTTTTACTACGGTTGTTTGATAAAATTAAAATGTAATGTCTGTGATTTGAACTTCAAACATCAAAGTGAATTTTAAACCTCCAAGACCTTAGATCTCCATCTTTATATATATACTAGTTCTCGAATACGTGCATTGCACGTGTATCTCCTGTTATTTAATACAAAACATTTTCAAATGATACATATAATTTTAGAATAACTGAAGCATTACACAAAATTTAATGGGTAAAAATGTTGTTTTTGGTTAAAATTCAATGCTAATATAAGGATTACTTTATTACAACCCTAAGACTAAGGTTGACAGAATCAATAAAATCAAAAGAATTTCTGATTGTATGGATAAAAGCTTCCCTTTTAATTATTTGGGATACCCTATATGGCTATATTTATCGGTAAAAAAAGAAGATTTCCTACTTTAATTATATGATTGTCAAATATCTAACAATATGTTTCTATACAAAATGAAAGAAGTTAAACAAAATAATATATCAATAAAGAAAAAAAATGACCAATGAATAAAAAATTACACAAGAACTATATTAAGATGATGAAACACAAAGGGTAATGGACTAACATTTTCTATTCAATTTATAAAGAGAGAAATTGTGTACATGAAAGGTTGTGATTGGATGTGTTTAATTGTAGAAGCTAAAAAATTTAACAATTAAAGTTCTTAAGAAGTGAAAAAGACAAGTTGTAACATCTAACCATGTATTTGGTCTAGTTTAATTGTAGAAGCTAAAAAGATAAACAATTAAAGTTCTTAAGAAGTGAAAAAGACAAGTTGTAACATGTAACCATGTATTTGGTCTAGTTTAATTGTCATTATTGATTTAACTTTAAAAGTTGACAAAAGAATTTTAATTAGAAAAATTAGTGAAATGTATTTTCGTAATCCAACTTTGAACCTATAACCTTCTCACTTTTAGTGATATATATATATATTATTTATCGAATGGGTTCGAATAAATATCCTCACAACCCATCTATCTCTGAGTGTAACAAGTCAAACATGAAAAAAATAAAGATGGATGGAAGAAGAAGAGATCCACCCCTTGCCCCTATTACTCTTTTTTCTATATTCAACTGTTAAATCGAATATATTTTATTACAAATGGAATATTCATAAAATTAAGAGAAAACACATAAAATTCCCTCTAAACTTGGCAGGATAACTTATTTTAGCACTTAAACTATACGGGTGTTTAAATACCACCATTGACATTTTTGAAATGAATTAAAAACCACCCTGAGATTATAATACTACTCTCACTTGTCACATCATAGCCATGTCAGTACAACGTCATTAATTCAATTTTTTTATTAATTATTTTCACAAATTTTCTTTAACACTTCTTAAAATTAATTTACACTAATTAATTAATTAATTAAAAATACATTTCCCCCAAACCCAGCCCCCACCCATCCCCCTCACTTATTTCTTCTTCCTTCTTCTTCTTCGTCATTTTTAGCTCGTCACTAATCATTTTTTTCCTCTTCATATATTTCAACGAGCTTCACCACCAAACTCCTTTCATCGTAACTCCCAAACCATCGCTTCCCCAAAACCCCAACCAAACCACCACTTCACTATCAATCTCTTCCTGAATACACCATCAACAGTGAGCTTCAAAGCTATTGAGAGAGACTTCTCCAAAACCCAACCCCATAAAATTTACTCCGCATTTTCTTCTCCAGTGTCACCACATCTTTATCAGATTCCAAGTTACTTCCAAGATTCAAAAATAGATTCACCACATCTTTAACAATAAACTTTGAAGCTAAAGTTGTTGCTAAGCCAAGAAAAGGTAAAAGTCTCATTTTGATCTATTTTTGGATCTTAATAAAAGTTAATACATAAAGAAAATAATATTTAAAGTATTAATTATATATTGACCTATAAAAAAATGTCATTTGTATGATTTTATATTTTTTTTTCCTTTTTTAATTTTTTCACACGCTATTAGGTGAGTGAACTCACTCTCTTTGCCACGTCAGTCCTTAGGGTTGTATTTAATTTAATTTAAAGATGTTTAGGGGTATTTAAACACATGTATAGTTTAAGTTCTAAAGTAAGTTGTCCGACCAAGTTCAGATTTTTTTATGTGTTTTCTCTAAAATTAATAGAGTCTCAAACATCCATTCGATATGAACAATCATAATTACAATCATAAAGAATTGCTATTGTTTGTTGTACCTTTATGACAAACA